TAATAAACAATCACAATTTCAGTTCTTGGTATCAACAATGCATTTATAAAAGAGCCAAGTATGTTAGTAAGAAAACAAGGAGAGACAAACTTTATTTTTTTTGAATTTTACAGGGCCTATTGACTATAACTAACATACTTGGCTCTTTCCTAAATTCATAAAAACTAGTTAAATTTCTTCCTAAGCATTTAACCCCCCCCCCCTCCTAGAGATAAAAAAAAAAGAATATTGGTAAAAAATGTATACATACCAAATATTTCTCTATAAATTCACTAACATTAAAAATACATGTATCCATAAACCCATCTCAAGTGCCTATAGACAAAACAATTAAATAATTAAAATACATGTAGTGATAAAACATGTTAAGTCTTAAGCCATGGAAGGAAATAATTGTAATACTTATGATCAAGATTTTAAGATAAAGGATTTTAATAAAAGAATAATGCCGATGTGGAAAACGTATCGCATCCAGAACAAGTTTATATAGAATTAACTTGCTCAACACTCTCTTTGGAGGGGGTGAAATTATGCTTTTTTAGTACATCCGATAGAAAACCCTCCTCCCCAATTTACCTCTCTGTCTCTCATGGTAAATCATTTCATATTGTACCCCAAAACTTTGTGTCTTTTAGTCATTTCAATTAGATGATTAAAAGATACACACACACACAAAAAAAATTAATGGCGTACACTATATATGCTGTGGAAATGGATTTTTACATATATAAATTATTTTTCATAAAATTAAAGATAACAAACAGTCTCAGATAGTGAAATTATTACATTGGGATAATGTCCTTCTTGACCTTACCATTGTCAATGTGTCCTGCGCAATACCTGATATTCTTAACAAATGTTAACAAATGACCTTTTGTCTCTAATTTTAGATACAGAACTATGCTATATTTGGTATATCATCCCGGATTTGTGGTCAACTTAAGGCACTGTGTTGTAATAAGCCTAACTATTAAGGATGCTACCATCTTCCTGCAATCTGAATTTTACTGGCCTTTTCAGGATATGTAATATGGTTCCTGTTTCATGCAATAAATTTAATACCAAAATCAACATATTAATTCCTTAATGTAATATTTCTCAACAAAATAATAAAATTCAGTCATAGAGTAGAAAATTAAAGATGGTCTCTTAATCTGTTGATATATGTTACAAAATAACTATAGCTAACATTTGTGTAGTAAATATTCCTATACATACTAGTATGTCGAAGCAGCCATCCTTATTTCAGAGAGAAATGCCTGGGATAAAGAGCAGAGAAAGAAAGAGGACTATGTTCTAGAAATAAAAGTCACATAAAATCATTTTGAATGTTGTCAAATTATCAAACTTTTTTTTATTTCTCATTGATTGACTGCTAGAAACATGCAATGCAAAGTTTTATATGTTTTGAATACTGGTGTTTTGAGTGTTTCTTAAATTAAGGTTATATATGGGTTCCGAAAATAAAAACATTTTTTATACCACTGTATAATGAATAAACCACAATATTTACATTGCCAAAGTTCAATTTTCAATGACAAATTAATAATAACCGAAACGAGACTAAATTTTACGTATCAAACCATGAAGGATACCCCTTTCACCCCTAACTTTCATGCATATGGTGAGCAAACTGCCAAGACTCTTGGAGGGTCTAAATTATGATGCCACCATACATGTATATTATGCTGTTTTTCCACTGTATTGTTTAATTTGTCAACCATTGTTAATTTAAAATTGCACAGTATTGTGTTCCACTTAAATCACAAACAGTGAAACTTAATTAATTTTATAACTAAATCTACCTGTTCATTAACTGTATCATCTTGGATCACTCGACGGACTTCATTGATAGATGTACCATCTATTTCATCACTTTCCATCTCTGTTTCTGTGGATTCATGTTGGTTACTGGTGGAAAATGTGGAGGTTTCAGCTACTGAAGTGGAGTTCATAATTACAAATGCTGGATGTCAAAGTAGGTGTCATGAAATGCTGCAATCTACCTAAAAAAAATAAAATATATAGGTAAATCATGAAATTAGAAGTCACACATACTAATACATATAATGAATTCAAGGAAGCATACACTGGGTCATGTGATTGGAAATGCACTTGGATTTGTATATAAAATGATTTGCCTGTGAATTTTATTTAATTTCAATATTAAAATGTAATTCTTTTTTTTTTTTAATCACTTTGCATTGATTGACTGGTAATCTGCTACAGTATGACTATAATACAGGAGATAGTTCAGAATTTCCCCAGTGTATCTTCTTTGTTTTATATAAGCAGTCATCTAATGACTAGTTAACAAGGAGACCAGTAGTAAGACATCCACAAAAGAACTTTATTCGGTAATAACCAATATTTGCCCCCCAAATCAAACTTTGATGGAAGTATATTTAATTAAGTTCTTAAACAGGGGATTATATGCTGACTTCAAAGCACTGAATATTTTCAAAAGTAATGACGTCATATGTACGTAATGACGTCACAAACATGACGTAAATTTCAGTTTTTTATGAATTCTACAGAAAAATGTACAATATAAGCGCATGTGTGTTCAGGATCAATATTTTGATATTCTGTGTAGAAGTGATAATATCAATGAAATATGTAAATATTGTTCCTGAACAAACTTGCGCTCTATAAATTTTAAAGCTAAAATTGTTGAAATTTTGTCCATTTTGTCCTCTTTCTGAAAAAGGATATAAAATCGGACTAGTTTGTGACGTCATAAAAACAAAAATTGTGAATAAACTGCCTTGAAACTATAATATGTTCTGCTAACTTATATTTCTCATACAATTTATTGAATTCAGCACATTTCAGGAAGTTTTCAAGATTTGACTTTTGTGGGGGCAAGTATATGCAATATACCGCATATAGTTCTTTGTTCAAATAAATTTCTTGAGCATTTAAAAATAAACTTTATAAATAGTAATTACAATGTATGTGCAAAGAATATCTATATGCATATTTTTTAAGTATAAAATATAGAAGAATGTCACATTTATGATTACATAGTGACTTCTTAAGTCCAAAATATGCAATAATTAAGTCTGCTTATCATAACAATAAAACTTTATAATTGTTTTATTTAATACTTCACCTATTATAATTAGTTTATTAAGCTACATGTATTATATTTATAACATACAGAATATATATAAATTTTAAAGTTCAATTTTTATAGTCTTTAAATTGGATCTAAATCCTCTACATTTTTTAAATTTCAAAATTTGCTGATTTCATTATTAAAATTTATTATCAATATGAAAGGTACACTTATAGTACATTGTACATTTTTAGTACATTAATACCATCTACAAAAATTTCTGTTGCAGACAGATAAAAATCTGCACTTATTTGTGAATCTGGTGGAATTTTTAAAATTCTGATCAGAAGTATTATAGACTGAGTAATAAGTAAAATTGATTGGGATTCTATCAGTGTCAATAAGCTTATTGACAGGCTATGTGCCTTAGGGTCATGTTGTGGTGGAGAGATTTTACACTTAGTGTACATGATACATCATAGAGTACTGTATAAAAATAAACACCTGCCTACATTATTAATTAAATACTGAATTCAGTCAAGTAAATCAATCATCTTTCATCATGCACAGGTCATGAATACATATCAACACTGATTAATTTAGGAAAAGTTTCTAGACTGTTTAAAATATCTATGAGAATGCACTCCAACTTTAAAATACACTTTTAGCAAATTGTTTCATGTATGTAGAAATATATATTATGAAAGTAGTCTGTATTAATTAATTTTCTCATATTTTGTGAACACAGGCTTTTGATTGCTCATTTATTTGAAAATATATATGTAAAGTTATACAATATATTACATTTTCTGTTTACAAAACATTGTTTTATTTTTAGAAATGATTCAAGTTCTATTTTGAAACCAATACATTTGGAATATCCATCTAGCCTACCTAAGTTATAAACATCATGCCACACACACAATCCAATACTATCGAGCAGCTCGTATTTTATGAATATTCATGCCTTTGTTTTGAAATCACTCACCTGGTTTGACCTACTTCTATGATAAAAGAATGAGTCATTTTATAAAAATGGAATATATGGTCATGCATGGAAATCCCTTTCAATGGTAAATAAATCAATGAGTTATATAATTGTTGGACTTACTGTACTAGCCTCATGCACTAGCCTAAGTAAAAGATATACATAGTTACTTTGATAAATTTTATAAATTAATGTTACAATAATATCAACTAGGGACCTACTAAATAATATAATATTTTCATATTTGAAAAATTGAGAAGAGGGGAAATTCGGAGAAGTGGATTTGAGTTGTTGAAAAAAAAAGTTTTTCGTTCAAGATATTTATGATTGACACACCAAGCCCATTCTGTTTGTCCCATTCCTATCTTTGTGTATTGCCAACAATACACACCTTGTACCTAAATAGAGAATGACTCATCGGCGATCGGAATTTCCCTACCACGCATTTCACGTCATGTGATCTGTAAAGTCTCGTGCTAAAAGGCGCAAAAACCAAAAACAAAGAAAACTAAATTTCTCCCGTATGCCTGGTTACAATATACCTAGTGCGATAGTAATGCTACATTAGTTTCAGAATAAAGATAGTCTAAGTAAATCAAAATATACTCTGTATGTGGAGGCGTGGTTTGTTAAACTGTTTAAGGTATTGACCTTACGTAGATATCAGACGTCACATTAACCTCTATATGGCTGAAAGTCCCGAAGCGCCCCTCGGCAATCATGTGACATGTATAAACCAATGAAAGACACGGTGAAATATCGGTACTCCTCAAAGATTTACCAAGACTATTCCATTACTGCGTGTCTACTAATGATAAGATTGGAGGAGTTCTGCTTGGACGGAAGTGGTAATGCTGATGTCATATTTGACCAATGAAATCGATGGAAAAGATGATGTCATTCTAAATTTAGAATCTGACTCATTTTCGTATAAATAGTGGGGAAAACGTATAACTACTAACACTTCTCAATTCACAGCGCAAAGGGTGACTCATAAAGTTTTGAACGAGTTTTCTCAACCGGCATTTTAGAAAAGCTTGTCATCAACAGTGAATCAGTAAATCAGTGTTTACAAACAGAACTTCAATTTTCCAAAATTTTGTGAGCATTTTATTCAAGCAAACTGGCGAAAACGATGGAAGCGATCGACCGCACATTTTACCATGATGATGGACATGGTTTAAAACTTGAAAACAATCAAGTGAATCAGTTAAAACGAAAGATGACATTAGATTTCAACTCAGGATCAACAAAAACGAAACAGCAAAAGGTAACAAACTTACTTGCTTCTCCTGACTTGAACATGTTAAAATTGGCATCACCAGAATTGGAGAAAATGATCATCCAAGCAAATGGACTGGTCACGACCACGCCAACACCAACACAGTTCATATTTCCCAGACATGTCACTGAAGAGCAGGAACAGTACGCACGGGGATTCGTTGAGGCACTGGCAGAGCTCCATCAAATAAAACCCCCACCAACCTCAGGGACCCAGTCATTACCCTCACAGTCATCAACTCGAAACAGTGTCAAGGTGGAGGATTCTGAAAGTGAAGACGACTCCCAGGATTCTTATTCCAATAATGAGGGCATCATCTCTCTGACCTCCACAACTTCTCTTCCAGGGGGGTTGGCAGTGGGAGCCGCAAATATTCCTCGTATTGCCACAAACTTTTCTCAAATGAACTCTCGAATTGATGACATCAAAGAGGAACCACAGACTGTCCCATGTGTCGGTTCCCCACCCCTGTCTCCTATTAACATGGACAATCAGGAAAAAATCAAACTGGAACGAAAAAGAGCCAGAAATAGGGTGGCAGCCAGAAAGTGTCGAACCCGAAAATTGGAACGCATTGCAAGACTTGAGGAACGTGTGGCTGAATTGAAAGGACAAAATAACCAATTGGCAACTTCTGCCACTACCCTCAGAGACCAAGTGTGCAAACTCAAACGACAGATCATTGAGCATGTGAACAGTGGATGCTCAATCATGATCTCTTCATCTCTGCAGCTTTGATAAACTTGAAGTCCCAAAGAAGTGCCTATATTGTGTTCCTTTTTGTTATGCCCAATTCTCAGAGTGCCAATATTATTCTGATGGTGGATGAAATGTTCATGACATTCAGTTTCTATACTAAAATTTTGTGGAAAATTAACTTTTTGTTTCATTCTCTGTATTTTAAGATTTTCTTTGTTGTGTTGTATGTCATTATGTTATGGAACACAGAAAACCTTGAGAATACGAGGGAATCAAATAATTCACAATTTCATCATTTGTTATGAATTTCTATGTTTTTCTAAGATCAACTCTGCAGAATTCTGCATGATTCATTTGTAAATCCATCCACATTATATTATTATTGACATGATATTGCTTTTTATGTTATATCTTTTTTACATTTGATACTGATTAAATTATTTTTTATAGTATAATCTCTTTTGTTTATTGATTTAACAGTGATGCAGTGCATAAGTTCATTGGATTAAATTCAGGATATAACCGGGGGAATTGAAAATTACAAAGTCATGTTTTTACTTTAGAACAGGACAAAAATGTTCTTACCAAATTTACCGCAAAACATAAAATAATATAGGGTCATATAGAACACGCTTTATGAAAAATTGGTTATATCAGCCTGACTAAAATGTATTCTACCTCATAATGAATATCAGTAGTCCATTATTAGTTGGGAGATCAAATGCATTAGTTTAGGATAAGCGAAAGAGATGTCAGAGGTGTCCCAAGACATATTTTATTTGATTTCATACTCGTAAGTAGATGAAGGATTTTAACTTGCTGCATTTGAAGGCATCAATAAGAAGAAAATGAGGATAAATTGGTTGTGCCCAACATAAATGTAAATGTACTATACAGTGTACTTTCCAATTAATAATTTTCAAAGATGTATTTTAAATTAGAGTACCATCAGATGTTCCTATATTAAAGCAGCATACATTTGTCCTCTACAAAAATTTGAATTTTTAATTAAAATTTGTATGTGACAAAATTTTCATCTACAAAAATTTGTAGAGTTAAAATTGTCTTATACATATTTTATAATTTTTCAATTAAAATTTGTATATGACAAAATTGTCATATACAAATTTTAATTGAAAAATCCCTTTTGTAGAGGATACATTACCAGGTGTTTTGAACGATATCAAGTGATGAATATCCTTCAGTCTGATTTCTTTTTAAAGATAAATTAACGGAGTTTTAGTATGTATTTCATCACAATGTTATTATGAGGAGGCATACAACATACCTTGCTTTATTGACTAAAATTGCAAATGGTCCTTCAATTAATGGGAACTAAAACAGGGAATAAGAAAATGACACATGCATTAAAAAAAAACTATTCCGTATGTCTTTGAATATAACTTTTTCTTTGTAAGAAACTTTCCGTTTCACAAAATTTTAATGATGAGCTTATGCTTTTGCTTGAAACACAGTTTAAAGCATCAATTTGTAATTGTAGACGATCAGTGCAGTGTTTTATTTTCTAAAAGAAAAGTAAGATTTTTTGTTGGAAAATATCAAATCTTTAAAAATGGTATATCATAAATCAATAAAATTTAATTTATACAATGAAGTTCAAGATTTGCATAAAGATGAAATAAAGCAAAGTGATTTATTTCAAAGGATGAGTTAGAATAGTCCTAAGGGAGGACATACAGGGACCATCTTTCACTCTTTTCTTACTTTGCATATCTATCATAAAGTTTTTATGAAAGTTGTAATAAGCTATTTCACAAATTAAATTTTAGCTAAAATAATGAATAATTGAGAAGAAGAACTTTTTAAAAGGTATTTTAATATTATTTGATCATGTAGTAAATTAATGACCATTTAAAATACTATGAGAAACAATTAAAATAAATATAAGAGAAAGGTAAAAAAAAAAAAAAAATCAGTTAGAATAACGCTTAATACGTATTCTCCCATTTTTTCAGGACGCAACTTTCATTTTTTTTTTCTGGAAAAGATGTGCACTCAGTAAACCCCGACAATTTTTCAAAGAGACCGACAATTCATTAACATGCGTATCCAGCGAATGTAAAGTGTAATCTCCGATGTTATCACTACTCAGTTGTGCACGTATTACATCGATCTGTCAAGATGAACAAATTGATTATTTTGATTTGCTGTTATTTTTCACCGTTAAGTAGCCTTTCAACAACACTTAGTTACATAATCTCAACTCGATTGTCGCATAATTTTTGTTCTTTGCTAACTATGTATATGTAATGATGTACATGTACATGAGTGTTATGTAAATGAAAGTCAATTATGCGAATCGTCCACTTTGTAGATTAAAATTGTGCGAAATATCTATTACATGCTCTCTCTCTCTCTCTCTGCATGGGAAACGTAATACAGTGTATATTTTTACTGTCCTGTTAACAACTTGATTAATAGTTTATTCTTTAAATAGTTCTTGACATTAAAAAAATATATATATTTAATAAATCAAATAAATTTGTAGAAAAAATGAGCACTTATAATTACTGGGGATGGGTAGGGTAATTATCAGGTATGTATGTTGCAGAAAGTTTTAATCTGAAATTAATATTGATTTATAGAACTAGAAAGCAAAAGAAGTTTATGTATGTTGCAGAAAATGTAATTTAAAAATTGATATTAATTTATCGAACTAGAAAGCAAAAGAAGTTTATTTTGAATTTTAAAATTCAAAATAAACTTTTCTAGCTGTCTAGTTATTATTCATGTTTTTTGTCTTTTTATTTGACGAAATGTGTATCCCCCCTTCTTTTCAATACAAGGTAACGTGTTGATTATGGAGAAAGGGGAATTACTCTAAAATCCGTTCCAAAAAATCCATTGCGCAATCGATTGTGATCAGAGTAATCTCCCATGTAATGTTTTGTTTACAAAAGTGCAAAACTATTCAAAGATAGAGGTTGGTTGCAAAGGTAATGTAACAAAATAGTAAATGTGTATATAAACAAGATATCTACATATCTACACTAGATCAATATTTTAAACTAAATTAGTGTTAAGAATAATCTCCACTCTGTGACTCATAAAATATTAAGTTGGCAGGCTCCATGCTGACAGTTGTCAGTATGGTTTAACGTTTCGCAATTTTTTTTTGCAGGTAAAAGAACCCAGTGTTCGGAGACAATCTCCAGAGGAGGTTTTCAGTGTGCACTGACAATGTAAAATATATATTTAAAAAGAAGAAAAAAGAAATTCTGAACACAAACAAGTTACCATGGGGATTACGTACACAACATCCAAGGGATACAAGGCCAAAGGATACACCTGTCCCGACGTGGTGAAGTGTTACCCCTCTATAACCTACAAAAAGTTCCCCATGCACAAAGTCAAGGGACCAGGCGAGCTAATACAAACACTGCGCATTCTTCCCACTTACTCTGTGCAAAGTAATTTTTTGTAATGTTCATTGAAATCTGCTAGATATTAATTAAACTATATTTTTTCAAACTATTATTTCTAAAAGACAATAAAATGCAGAAAATTTCTATTATTGTAGAGCTATTAATAAAATTAATGATAAATCTATATATGCAAATTACAGGTACTTATTCTATTCTAATTCCTGATGTGTGTTGTATTTGGGTAATACAATATAATCTTGAAGGTGCAAGTAAGTAAAATTAATTTCACTAAAATTAATGATAAATCTATATATGCAGATCCAGCTATTGATGCTTGGTGGACATTTTGCCAGTTTTTCCCAAACAATGACAACATTCTTTTCTCAACATCATCACCATTCCAAATTTTGCATGGAACAGTATGGCACCACAAAAAATGTGTAATGCTCGAGATATCGGCAACATATGCCAAAATGTGCATAATAAAATATGGTAAAATAGGTTAGTATTCGCCCACAAATAGCAAATTGAAATAATCTTGAAGGTGCGGGAAGAAGATTATAGAAGAAAAGTTAACTTTAACTGTAAAGAAATTTCAATATCACACTATATGTCATAAGTAGTTTTTGGTTTTAGCAAAAAAAAAAGATATATACTTGTTTATAGATTTTGTACAAGAAATGGTGTTTTGATAAAAAGGTAACTCAAACTATACATACAAGGGAAAATGTTGAGAAAAAGAAAGTTCAATCACATATTTTTTTAATGCAATGCGCCGTGCTTAATGGTATGGAAAAATCACTCAAAATTAATACCAATTTACAACATTTTGATATGAAATTTTGAAGACCATATAAGAAAGATTCTTTTATATTAGAGCTACAAATATGCAACATCCATGCCATATATATAGCCATATATCAGTCACTTAATTGTTTTGAAGTTGTTTGCACAACAATCATGAATTAGAGCTGCATATGGTTGTCTGCGTATATTGCATGTATCAATGAATTTTCACAGTATTCATGAACTGCACCAAAGCTGCTAAAATGTGAACCCCGCTCTAATAAGTGCACATACCATATTATTTCTTCACCTCAAAAGCTCATAGATCCTGATAATCTTCATGAGTATACATGGTTTATCAATATAAAGTTTTTATTTTTTGTAGAATGTGGCACAGTCCCTCAAGCAACATGTGAAGGATTTCCAAAATTCCAAATAAATCCTGATGGAGTCAAATTCACATGTTTATCCTCATCCAGCATCAGTGAACATTTTGTCATTTACAAAACAATGAACCCAATCATAACAAGGGCCCATGACCCTTCTCTCACCCAGTACAAAGACTATGCCACTTCACCAAATGGGAGTTTTCATGCAATCCTTGCAAAAACCTCTGCAAGCTGCTATACATTTTTTGTGTTTGGATCGTGCAGCTATTTGCATACTGAAGCTGTAATAAAAATTGATGACCTATACCCCACTATTAAGCCTCCACCTCTGTTAGTGACCGAGAGAATAGACATAAAGTGGTCTCCTGACAGCCGACATGTTGCTGTAGGATTTTCTAGGGGGCAGTTAACTGTAATTGATTGGAGGAAACTCCAGGGGGTCTGCAGCGTGTTTGAAGATGTGATCTCTGACCTTGAACTCTGTGGTCCATCTACTTTTGACTTTGACCCAAGATCCCAGCACTGTGTCATGGCTGTTGCTGCCAATGACATGATTTTGTACAGGATCAATACCCATGAAAAAAAGAAGCTTGGCTGCTCAGACAATCTTGGAAGTTTTGTGGACTGTCTCAAGTACTCATATGATGCTAACTGTATTGTGACCTCCCTCTTTAACTTAAGAATCAAAGTCATTGATGCTGATGAACTTTGTTCATTGTTTGAGATTAATCTGAGTGTGACTTGTCCAGATTTTATGGACGTTTCCGCTAATTTAGGGTCCATTGTACCCAATGTGACATGCCTGTCCATCACTGCTACAGGAGAACAGGTAGCCATTGCATGCTGGGACAGAAAAATTCGAATACTTCAGCTACCAAAAGTGTTAAATCTTCAGTGTATGTGCAAATACACTATTCTGAGTGTAGTGGACCCTTCTAAAATCATGAAGCTTCCATTACCACATCTGCTTAAGGACTATTTATATTCCCTTCCTTTCAATCCATAGTATTAAAAACATTGGAGAGGTGAATTGTAGATCATTGCAACACCTCCATTATTATCGAATCTTTGAAGGATAACCGTGATATATGATTAATGCAACACTTTTATCACTGAGGCCTGCTGCCGAGTTCAAAGTCTTACAAAGATATTATTTTTGATTTTTTTTTCATGTTTTAACCTATTATTCAATGCTGTAAACTTTCCGTCTTTATTATGTCTATTTGTGAAAAGATTATTTTCTACACTTGAAATTGTATGACTTGCTTGAGGATGGAGCTAAAATTAAACAAGTCAATTATTATCACTTAATAACTTTTGATCTAGTAGAGATTCCTGTAAACATATTACATTTGGCTGTGTATTCTTTTTAGAACCTTTAGCGGACTTCTCATTGTGCATAATGGTAACGTCTACTGTCTCTGAAATTCTATTCTTTTTGCTAGGCTATTTATCCATTTTATAAAACATGCCATTAATGTGTGCAAATTATACAATGAAATCCAAGGAAATCAGTTAAGAGGATCAATGCTGCCAAAAATACCTGTATCTAAATTCCGCTAATTCAATTACAACGCTAAATGTCTTGCACATATACTCATAAATGAGAACATTAAGAAATTAAATGTGCCAAATCAAATATACATTAACTTGTTCAAAAATCAATTCCCACCAAATATTGTACACCAAATTTAATACATTTACAGTATGTTGTTCGTAGATTTTTGTAACAGGATATAACTAAAACTCAGGGATTTTGTCAACAATATAAATTTTTTATTTATTTAAAATTCTGTCAACGCACACTACAACACATCATATAATGCTATGAGGACCCAAATAAAGATCTTTGACTACTCAAACAACTCTGAGAAAAAAATTCACTACATCAAAATTCGACGAAAAACAACACGACTAAAATTTTGCTGGAAACTTACCACAGTTTGATTAAAAACAGTAACAACTTTGTAACAACACAAAAAATGTGTAGAAAGTGAATGAAGATATATAAATGATAATCAGCACTCAAAAAAAGTGTTTTGTTCAGTTAAAATGACCACAGTTCAATATTGCAACATACAGTGTATATTATAAAAGGCGAGGAAAATGTTGGCTAGACTGGGACTCGAACCAGCGACCTCCCTGTAACTTTGCAGATGCTTGACCACTGAGCTACAGGGCTGACGTATCCATTCCCCCTTACACATGTGTATAGTCAATCACAAAATATTGGAGCATGATTGATCTTAAATCTGATAAAACTGACATGTCACTCAAATAGATTGTGTACACTAAAATCATCAAAAATATATATTGTACATTGAACAACAAAAATAGTTTACAAAATATATTTACAATTTTGTACTTGCATATATATATACATGAAGATGTATCACAGAAATATTTGTTCTTCTTATGTAAGGTTTTTATAGACATTTTCAGCTGCCAATTCTTATTCTAAAAAAAAAAATTCTAAAAAATGACAATATTTATATCTGAACTTCAGTAAAGTTTGTAAGTGTCATGTACAACTGTCTAATGCTTAATGAAATTTTCATGTTATCACCGGTACAGTTTATGTATACAGAATGGGTACATCTTCCAGTGTACTATCATATTGTAAAGCACTTCATTGAAAGCTCTAACAAGTAATGTCAAGTTTGTCCAACACAGACTAAGGACAGAGAATCTTCAGTGACAAGATGTAAGGCTGTCTCTTTCCTTCTTAAGGACTATTGCTTCTGTAGAAAGAGATGAAAATCAAACAATAAAATGTGTTCTTTGTTAGTCTGGGAATTAATGTTTCAGCTATTGCAGACAAAAAAAATTAAACCCATGTAAGCTGCAACCATTAATTCTCATACTGTCAAATATAAACTAAAATTTTACTGCTTAAGGCCAAAGATTTTTTTTCTCTTGGTTTACAATTCCGCCGAACCTATTTTTCCCTCTTGACAAAAATAAAAGTAATGTGTCTGACTCTTGAAACTGGACACTTAATCCGAAATTTTCTAAACCAAACGATTGTTTTTATTATTTACAACACATCATAAACATTCAAATGACCTCAATAAATACAGGAGCAACCTAGGGGGCGAAATCACTTAAATAATGTTTCTATACTAGCCTAATGACCAATGCATCGAATACTCCGTCGGAACTCCTCTAGATTTTACACTTCCAGGTATGAAAAAGTCCATTGTTACAAGTTATAGGTGTCATATAGCTATTCCACCTGACGCCATCTTATCTAAATATAGTAACTAACCGGAAGGCACGGGATCCATGTTTTCACGTTTGTGATAGACGACAGTCTCATACGAGGGTTGAGGTAAGTAATTTATTGGCTCTAAGTGTGATTTAATTGTCTGACATTGCAATTCAAGAATAAAGATCGTTTTGTTTAGCATTTGTAATGGTAATATATTCTTGAAATGGCGATAATATTGGTTAAAAGTAAAAAAAATTCAAGTAACACAATGCCTTGTCAACATATGAGAGAATTAGTATTTTTAAAGTTAGTCTGTATAAAGTTTAGATTAAGTAATATTAAGTTGCATGGAATGATTGCTTATTACCTTTTATTTATTATTGATGTAATTAAATTATTATTATTGTTCTCACTTTTTCACATTCTTTTTTAAAACGCTGCTGTACTGTTAATAGAGCAAATATACTGTAAATAGATTATCTGCCCTTGTTATAGTTTGTTTCAGAAAAAATCAGTGTCTACATATGATACAATTATACATAAAAATTAATAATACGATGTTACAAGACATTTCAATTAAGGTCTAGCGGCTGAAACAGGTTCATCATGATATGTATTTTAATTGTGTATTTTGTGGAAATATAAGATTTACAGTCTAAATAATAAATCTTTTTATTACAGATGTTTAACAGCTGTTAAATGAAAAGATTTTACTAGAGTGAAATACCAACACAAAGATTATCCACATTAAGGTATGTATTCTTTAAACTTAGTTATTATGTACACTGTTCAGTGTATATATGTGTTGTAAAATATACTTTTTTGTGCTATGTTGTATATACATGTTTGCATTATATTTCAGCACACTTACAATTTATTTCATTTCTTCTTTAATTTATTTCATTTCATTTCTTTTTATTTGATTTTTCTTTCATTCATTTTATTTCAATTTTTAGTTTTGTTTTCATTTTTTTCTTTTATTTCAGTTAAATTTTTTCTTTAATTTAATTTTTTTTTATTTTATTTTTCTTTCATTTTCTTTCAATTTTTAGTTTTGTTTTCATTTTTTTCTTTTATTTCAATTTCATTTCATTTTATACAGCAAATTTGTGGTAATCTCTAACATCAGTTAGATCACTGTTTTTCACTCTAGTTCATGTTTAACTTTATCAATTATCATGGATCTGTTGTATGTAAACATCCAAGAAATTTATGAGAAACATAAGGGCGGTGAAGATTACATTCTAAATATTCACAAAAGCATTTGTGGTGCCCTAGGCGTTTCTTGTTTACAAATAAGTAAATTCGCATTGTTATGGAAAGTCAAAAAAATAGTAAAAGAAATGGAACGTCTTAAGAAATATACCAACAAAGAAAAGTATAATGCATATTGCCAAAAAAAATTTCAATTACCAACTTCAAAGAAAGAAAAGAAAATCAAAGATGATACAATGCAGGAACAGAAAGAAGATTATAAAAATCAAGAATCTCCAGAATTACAAGAAAAAATTGACGAACAACAAAAAGAAATTTTACAATTAAAGAAAGAAAACGCAGCTTTAAAAGACCGCTTAAGGTCTGTAAATATGAGGAACATCAATAGGAATTTAAAAAGAAAAACAAAAACAATTGAAATTTTAAAGGAAGAGGTGAAGGTTTTAAAACAGAAAGAAATGAATAAAAAAAATATAAAAGAGGAAAAAGGTGTCCAATGTAACACTTTTAAAACATATGTCAAAAATATTAAAAAAGAAATGGATCTTTTATTAGCAGAGAAAGAAAATAATGAAGAAAAATCACAAGACTTTGTACAGGTAGAAAAAAATTTAGATTTCAAAGATATGTCTAAAGGAAAACCTTTTAATTTTAAATTAAGAAATTTATATTATATTTTTAGAAGCCATAATGTTGGCATTGTACATATTGCACCTATTATTGAAGCTGTTTTAAAGTTGTTTGATATTAATGTAAAAAATTTACCGAGCAAAAGTACGGCAGCTGTGTTGAGTAGTGAAATGGGTGTTGTTGCCAGAAATCAACTAAATGAAACTCTTTTAACTTGTACAAATACAACAATGCATAGAGACGCAACGACTAAAAAAGGCAAACATTTTTATGGCGTAAAATTTAACACAGGAGAGAAAATTTTAACAGCAGGTGTGAGAGAAGTTTGTAATGGAAAGAGTGAGACATATGTCAATTGTACAAAAGAGATTATAAATGATTTGTCCTCTAGCAAAAATGATGCTTCAAATATTTTAAATTCAGTTTATTGTTTTATGACAGACAGAAGCGCAACAGAACAAAAAGTAAATGATATTTTAAGCAAAGATATTTCACATACTGTTCATTCTTTTAAATGCTGCATTCATCCACTTTTACAGTTCTCAGAAGTGTGCTTTGCAGAGGCTTTTAATATTGAGAAGGAGTTAGAAGTTAATTTTAATGGGTATTCAAATTCATTGAAAGAACCTTTTATTTTGTTTCTTTTAAGAAATGTTTCAAAGTTTTTTTACAAAGATGGTGCTGGGGATCCAAACATTTCAGACATTTTTATGAAATATCATGGAGTAGGAAAAATTCCAATTATGAATTTCAGAGGAAACAGGTTTAATGTTTCTTTTCATAATGCAGCAGGTACATTTTTTATCCATAAACTTTTATTACAATATATGTTCTCTATGAAAAGTTCATACTCTTTTTTACAGAATTTCATTGTTTTATCTCTGCAAAATAAGGTTATTTTATGTCTTTTAAGAGCTTTAGGAATTTTATGCAAATTAATTACAGAGCCTTACTTTGCAAAGGCGTCAGAAGTTGGGACAATATTAGATATGGGTTCTGTATATCAGAGGCTTTTATTTGTTTTGAATATGTATTATGAAAATCCATTACTGGCTCTAAAACAAGAGTTAAGATTATTTTATGGACCACAGTTTTATGACAATGTTTCAGACTTTTTATTTGATTGTTGTTTACACAACGATCTAACCGCTGTATTTTTGAAAAGATTTTGTGGTGTTTTTAAAACAAAAGTTGAGAAAATTTTTAATGACTTTTTGTCAGGTGGTAAATATTTTAATGTAACTCAAGATATTTTAGAAGAATGTTCCTCATGCGTTACAAACAATATTTGTGTAGAAAGACTGTTTGGAAAGTTAGATTATAATTTAAAAGCAGGCCCAACAACCAATATAAATACAATTGAAAGTGTGATGATTTTTAATGACAATGATACAAAGGAATGGCTAGAGGAGAAAGATGAAAGTGAACTAAAATTAATAGTCGAAAATGCTCGGAAGGAAAACCGAAAGTTCATGGCCTTACAGAAGGAAAGAAAAGACATATTATTTCAACAACATATACAAGGTTTGAAGGAGAAAGAAGAGGAGACAAAGAAGAAGAAAGAGAGACAGACAGAGGGTGTAGACAAAGCTTTAGAGGATATGAGGAAGCAGGGAATTTGGGAAAACAAGGATATGATTGAGAATGAAATTGAAAAGTTGAAAACAAAGAAGGAGAAACTATCTGCTCTTAAAACTCAGATAAATATGTATAAAAAAGTTTTTAAGATTAGCAAAGAGCACAAACATTTATGCCAGTATTCGAGCAAGGGCAAACAATTTGATATTATACAACTGAAAAATAATTTATTACAACTCCTGAATATACGACAAACATGTGTTAATGTGATTCCTAGTGACCTTGTGGGGAAAGAAATAATACACACATGGACTAATAGTGATGGGGGGAACTCTGATTGGGAAGGACAGATTTTAAGTTATAAGGATGGAGTTTTTAAAGTAATTAGAAAAAAAATTACTTCCACTTGCCATTTAATATGTTTCAATCACATTAAATTTGAGATACACTTTAAAATTTCATATAATGGGTGGAGGCTAATCAGGCTATAAGTACATTAACTATAGTTCATCACCTTCATCACAATATCTCAGTAAAAGGATCAGGCTCCTGACTTACATAGAGTTTTTATGATGTACATACTTTTTTTTTACTAGCATGTCACATATCAGTAAACTCTAAATAGATCGACATACAGTGAAACATGCTTTTATAGAACATCTTATAAGTAAACCAATTCCTACTGACCGCAATGTGATTTTCATCCCCATGACTATAAATATTATACAGCCATATCTCAAAGTGCATGTTGAAATCAATGTTTTCAAATCCATATTTTTATAAAGGATTTGCAAACATAAAATACTTCTGTGCACCTTTTAACTGCATGTGTTTTATTTTTGTTTGTTTTTTTTTTTTTGTCTAATTGTTTGTGTCTGTATTGCGAAAAGTTTTAATGAATTTAAGACTATTTAAAAAAATTACACTCATTTTTGAATAGAAATGTTAAATCTTCAATATTACATATTTGGTATGTTTCATGGCAAAAAAAATATATTAATATAACTGAAAAGCAGGATAAGAACAGACACTTATTTTCACATTTTGCATTACAGGTGCTATACTGGAGTGATAAAGAAAGAAAACAAAGTGACGTTTATGATTTGA